GGAATGTTTTAAGAAACTGATATTGACTGATATTACGAAGCGTGGCAAGAAAGTTTCGAAAATTACTCGTATAAAAATTTTGAAAAATAATGACAAGGTTGTGGATATTTATTCAAAATCATATTTCTCTAAATACAATTAAAGAGATTAAATTTAAAGAGAGATTTGTTTCATGTATTAAAGGGATATTCTAGTCTAGAGGCATGAATTTCGGGCGGTTTTTGAAGCTCTGTACAAACGAAACAAAAAATATTTTGACTTTTCCAAGGTTCATGTTATAGCGGCATCTATACTAATTAAGAATCCGTTCGGTTTTTTTGTTTCAGATGACCAGAAGGGTTGAAATCATGCACGCCAGGACACCCTTTTTTTGGACCCTCCACTTTGCCAGCTCATAACTTTGTGAATTTTGAGTTTCTTGTTTCGGTTAATTTTTTATGTAATCTTAAAATATCAATAAACAAATGATAAAAACATGGATAGTAAGAATATTTTTTGTTTCGTTTGTACAGAGCTTCAAAAACCGCCTGAAATTCATGCCTCTAGACTAGAATAGACCTGAAATATTTTAACAATTTTTGTACATTGAATATTTTTGAACATTTACTTTATGTATTTTTACATGTTTAAATCTCTTATAAATGCATAAAAATTCGTAGTTCTCTAATGATTTAAGGCTCTGAATGAAAGCAATACACGACACAAAAAATACATATATAGAAGTTCGATCTGATGGTCTGCAATTAATGTCATATATGTTCTGCGGTGGCATTCAGCAGTTTCTATTGTAAGGAGAAAAAATAGGCCGATCGGATTGCTTGTCCGCGATTCGAATCCAGATCTTTCATTTACCAAGCGCTGCTCTATCAATTGAGCAATCCGGGCCATCAATAGATTATTTTCTCCTTAAGTCTAATAATTTAGCAATGGCAACCGTCATCGATATATAGGGAAGGAAGATTCTAGGTTGTTAATACTTTCTAATTTAATTTACTGCTTAAGAAACGTTTTCGAGAAAGCTACAATTATCGTTTTAAACACATCTTTATTTCTCTTTGATCGTATATTTACTTGTCAGCAAAATAAGATTATAATCAATGTAATGTAATTCCTCATCTAAAACAGTCATGTAAAAATTAAGTATCATTAATAGTATGATATTAATGACTAATACATAACAAAAGTAAAATAATGCAAAATGTAACGTTAATAAAGTATAAAATCCTAATATCAAATAAATGACACAAAATATTTAAAAAGAGAAAATGATAGAATTATAAATACGTTTCGTATTTATCTCGTGGCGTTACATATAGGGTTAAATATTATATCTTACGAAATAAAATGCATTACCATAACTGCGAATATTTACATAAATTCATATTTCTATAAGTACAACTAAGAAAAAAACGATGCATAAATAGAAATGTGTTCCCTCAAACTATTGATATTAAATATAATCTCTCAAAAATTATAACGTGTAATTTTCCTATTATATGTATTGCGTACATTTCATTTTTTTAAGTTAAAATCTGCCCAACAATGAGAACAATCGACAACAAGTAATAGATCAAAATTGACTGTTCGAAACCGAATGAACACGCTGTTCTGTCAACACTGTAAATATGCAAGCGCACAAATTACATATCTGTTCCGAAGCGGGTGTACTTAGTTTCGACTGGTTTGAACAGTCTACGAAACGTTGTTACCGAAATGACTTATTTCTTGCCGAGGTACGAAATGTTCTCTGGAAATTCGACGGATTCCTCGAAATGGCATTACCAGTAAAAACCAGCAAAACCAATCTTCTCACCTGCCAACCTCGCAATTCCTCATAAGCCAAGGTATCTCGTGTGCACGCGTACTACTAATTTTCTCTCAGTCTCATCGTGTGAAGCACCTAAGGTCGATTTTCTTCATAACCGTACGTTGTTCCGCCGCGACGGCCCTTTTTACAATGGCGCGTGTTCGAGAAAATAACATACTTCCCCTGTCCCGTGTCCTCCCTTTCCTACCGCCATGAAAATCCACCGGTAATGGAATTTGACAAAGGCAGAGGACGACCGTTGCTGGCTTCTGTCGTGTAGCTTACGAAATTATTCGATGTCTAGTTTCTTCCTACAGTGGAAGTCGCCAAAGTATTTGAACACTTACCGTAGGAAACTTTTATATACACTTTGTACATTTTATTATGTGCAATGGCTTTAAAAAACATTTTTATACCGTTGTATTTATTACGGCATTCGTATATTAATTAATTAAATCCAATTATATTAAGTTTCATATAATTTCATACTACTTTCATATGACTACAAAAACTTAATACCTATTATGAAAATTAAATGTGAAACCTAGTAAAACAGAAAGCACTTCATTGGAAAATAATACATTTTGTAGTCACTGTAAAACATTTTGAAATTTAATTAGTATTATAGCGAGCCACGACTGTCATAATTATATTTGTCAAATTTAAAACTAATCGGGAAATTTGTATTAAAGTTACAAGATATTTACTGCAAATATTCAATGAAAGATAAGTAGAAACTAAAAAATCAACATTCTACGAAATATATACTTAAACTAAGCATCTTGTTGCTTCCATACACGTTTTCAGTTTCGTTACAAACTTTATGTAATTATAATAGTCAAGTCTTAGTAAGGTGCTAATAAAATGTCAGAATGTTTCGTATAAGACACATGATATATTTATAGTGTCATATATTAAAAGTGTCTACAAATATTTGAACACTTTCGTGAGACAGTGTAGTCTGGGCCATTCTTCTTTTTTCTTTTTCTCCTTTTTTTCGGCTACAATTTGATGAAAACTCTTTGCAATCAATTAATTCAAAGCAAAAATTGAATTACGCAGCGAGAAAAATGTTGCCAGCGAACTTTCATCAACGTGGAAGTCAGCGTGTATCCGCTGCCACCGTATTGCTCGTAGTCCCCGAGGATGACGACGTAGGATCTCATTATTCGATATGGCTAAATACGTGCATCTAGAAAATGAAATGTTCCTCGCATTTGGATCGTACAGCAGCGGTAGCGATGTATGGCTTAACTAACTTCCACGCGAGCAAAATTTCACGAAAGTTTATTCGCTGTGTTCAGTTGGTATGTAGCTGTACTTTATTAAAACTGTATTTATTGGTCTTGGCCTCTTTTGAACGCATTATGAATTGAAATATAGGATAATGAAGTTCCAATACGGAAGAATGTTTCGTGGAAATTTATTTCTCAGTTTAAGTTGTGGTAGATTAGAGATTTGCTTTGAATTCTTTAGATTCCTCATTCTCTCATGCTGAAGATGGCTATTCACGTTTACTTTAATTTTTTTTTTTCACTAATTACATATTTGCAGTGAATATCGTGTAACTTCTATATACATTTACTAAAATTGATCCCAAATTTTACCAATACGATAGACGTATGTTCTCATAGTGCTGATAAAATTTCAAAATATATTCCATAACACACACAACATACGTGTATACATACATAAATATTTTTTACGATAAGCTATGAAATATTTTCGTGAGCCTCTGTATATTAAGAACGGTAGATGAAAATTCTCTTTGCAGGTAATCATTCAAAGGAGATTGAATTTAAAAATTACGAGAAACAAATCTTTGGCGGTCGTAGGCACTGAGACTAATGTACACAGAGTACGCCCCGGAAGATCTTTCAAGGGGAAAAGTTCTCTTCTTCTTTGCTTAACCTCTTTAACTTTTATAGACCAGCCTCTCAAACTTTCATACTACGATAACTTCTACGTTTCCCTCCTATATCACGCAATTATTTTAGTTGTGTATACGTATACACACAGAAAAGTATCCAACGTCAGCATTGAAAATTATTTTCGATGACACGGAAAAGCGTTTAAGGAAAAAGTTCTTTGGCAAGGGGGAAGGCGGACGGCGCGGGAAGGCTTTACTTCGTGAAATTTCGAGATCGCTTCAGGATGTACCGTATCGCACAGGATCTGTACAGGATCTGCCCGTATCGATTTCTATGGATACTTCAACGCTACAATCTCGAATATAGAATAGATTCGATAATGCATGTTAATGGAATTTTCACATCTCGAATAGTGTATTAGTAATGTAACGAATAGTTATTAATGATTTATAGAAAATGAGAAGTTGACAGTATATCCAAAAATTTGGAAAGAAAAACGGAAATATCGTAGAATTTTATTAGAATTTTAATAGAATTACAGATATTGTAGATTTTATTATCTACAGATTAATATCATTGAAATAAAACAATCTTTGGAGCTTTTATATATGTTTCATATATAAGTTCTTTTTGATAAATCATTCCAATATATTTTTTCTTTTTGTGAAGGTTCTAGTTTCAATAAATAAATGACTACGTTTCAAGGGAAATTTCATTACAGAATTTAAATAAAAAATTATACTACATTAATTATGCCACGTCGCAACCATTTTTTACATTCTCGCTAAAGTTCAAAAAAAATCTTTTAACGATAGAAAAACACAATCAGGTTGAGAAAGTCTCAAGGAATGTAAGCTTAACTTTCGTACGATTTATTTACGATCTCCATAAAAGTTATTATAGAATACGAGTAAATCATGAGAGAAACGAAAAATCTGTTTCATTGCATCAAACGGTCTATCGGCGTTAATTTATGACATAAAAAACAAATTGGGAACGAAATAATTAAGTTTACAGAATTAAATGGAACGTGATTAACAGCTCAACAAGCTTTGGACTAAATAAAAATAAGGGATTTATACTGCAGATTTCTAATGAACGAATAAAGAACAAATAGAAAATTTGACTTGAATTCATCAGCGTATTTCGAATCAACGTATTCATCATCCAAACAATCAACAACCATACATACGAATGAACATTCGAATCAATAACGTTAGACACTCTGCAGGTTGTGTAGAAACGCTCCTAAACCATTAATTTCACGGGTTTCCCTTAACTGCGGATTCGATAATGACGCGTGGATTATAGGTATCACTTACCGCCACGTTGTTCAGAGTGAATGAGAGATGAGCCGGTGGTTTGGAGGGTGGTAAGCTACAATTTGCCCTCAAAGTGTCTCCGGCATCGTAACGTTCGCGTTCCGATACGATAATGGGCGTGCCTTCGGGTAGAACTGAAACATAATAATTCCATGAGTGTATCTCTTCTACTCATCGTCGACAGGTCGGTTATTCGTGCCTCGTTCAAACGATACAAACGACATTATACCGCCATTTTGCTACCTAGCCGAGCAACATATCCAATATTCAAGCGGCTATGAGGAACAGATTAGGTAGTTAGTTTTATGATATTTCCCGTCGACGTAACTGCATGCGAAAGAAGAAAACCGAAGGATGAAATAGAAGCTTGATTAATTATCTTTGTTCAATTTTTCAAGATAATTTTTGTACAATAATTATAAAGGGATTAAAAATGCATTCATAATACGAACATACTGATTAAGATATAAAATATATACAAAGAAAGCTGTTGTTATTTCTATACTCAGAGGTAAGATCAGAATAGTTATTATTTTATTGAATGGATAAATCTATTTCTGAGCCAAAAAAGTCTTTATTGCACGCGCTTACAAAAACTAGGGATAAAAACAAAAAGGCATCTTAAGCCTATCGATTAAATCTATCGATTGTAACTAGGATCATCCTCTAGTTAATATTTCTTATAACTAACGCATCTGCATATGGATGGCAAGCACGAACTCACGTTGTTATTTTCAACAGAAGCTGATATACGCATGTATGCAATCAGAAAAAGCAAACTTCAATCCATATATTTCACAAACAATCATTCAAATTTCTAGAACCTGCACTGTGAATTTCTAAAATACCTATGACATATGTATAACGAATGATCAGTTCGACCATTCTAATAGCTCTATTGTTAAATTCTTCACGGACGTTCATATATTCTATGAAAAAAATAATCCATATTTAAAAAGGTTAATATCGAAGTAGTTTGAAGTACAATCAAATCATCCTAATCATAATATTTTAGACGATTATGAAATTACAGCCGGGAATCAGTGCAACTATTTTCCTTCTAACGGCGATGGAATATATTATGTATTATACATCTGGGTAGTAGCAATGCCGGTGGATACGGGTCGAATTAATCTTGTTCACAGCCATTTCGTTGATTTAATTCTGTAACAAGGCGTTCCACTGCGGGTTAAACGAATCGTGTTGTAACAATCTGCATTTCGCCACTACCGGGAAGATTTTCTAGAACGAAAAAGAAGAGCGCACTGAGAGAATCTCGAATCGATTGATTTGAAATAAACGAGACCTTTCGTAGTTCAACCGCACGCATTCGACTTTCCATTAAGTATATTGGATTTTCGAACGCTGTCGACAAATCTTTCGAGACAATCCGAATAATGGTATAAAGTAGGTCGTGGTATTGTTACAAAATATTAACGATATAAGTTTCATTCGTGTTGGAAGAATAACAAGAACGGCTCGAGGAAATCGTGGCTCCTGACGACATATGTACAGTATCGTACATACAGGGTGCCCCAAGTTCTTGTCAGAATGAAACTATCGCGCGTAGACTACAGGAAAAGACACGGTAAATATAATACTTGCTGATTTTTAATTTTAATATCACTTTATGACTAAAATGGAATCTTTCCACATAAAGGAGCTAAAAGTAAGAAAGAACTTGTTACGGAATTAATGCTTCGTTTTATGGAAAAATTGCGGGACACCCTATGTACTGGCTCTATTGTGACGATAAACTTAGAAGTTGAATGGTTGAGATGCAACCGTGAATTATTTCATTTGAAATTTTATATGAGAGTATTTCATAACATCGTGGATAATTGCGCAGATACAATACGTATTATATTTTTATGTCATCGTTTCGTACATTTTTGCGGATTGGAACAGGTAACTATCGCTTGGAACGAATTTCCGTAACATGTTACATCGAAATCACATTGAATAAAACATTCAACATTGATCAATGGAAATACGTTGCTAAACAACGTTAACAACTTCGGTTTGTGACAATATTCGGTACAAAACCGTGTTTTCGAAGCACCGCCTTAATTGAAAGCTTCTGCAAATTTTACGTCAAAAACGTATGTACAATAGCATCATGTTAGTTGAGAGTCATCTGCATGTGCTCGTTTCAAAAATATGAAATTTGCGTTGAAATTTTTTAACTAATTAAGGAGCGAAAGACAATAAGGTAGAAAAAATATTTTTGATATTTTAGACGAGTATTTAGGTATGTAGACAGGAGGTTATAAATGTAGTAATATATAGCACACAATCTTTGAGATTTTACTATAACTATTACATTGAAGCATTACGAAAAGAAGTAAGTAGCGCATTCCAATATTATTATTACACTCTCTTAACAAATTTATATGACGTATAAAATAAAATTAGAAAAACGCGTGTAATACCTAAATTACCAAACTTTTGAAAATAACGTAACTTGAAATACCTCAAATCTCATAATAATAATAATAATAACGTTATCGCACCATTGGGTTTATAATTACATATTGCAAGTTCCAATATTAACCAAATAATTATTTATTACAATTATACCATTAAGATTGTTGTATATTACATACGACCCAACTCTCGTCAAATAACATAACATAACAAGAGTCACCACAAGAGAATAGGAATTGTTCCAAAATTAATTGCAGGATACAAAATGGTAGAACGATAGTAGCACTCGTTTTACCGAGCACTAATTGGTGTCTCGTGATGCACACGCCACTTCAACGAGCTAACGAGTAGAGAGTTTAGACCGGCTATTATCGCATTTAATTTTACAATCGAGCGAATCCACAACGCACGAAGATCGTTGTTGTACCCCGCCACCTCTCTCACTTATCTAGAACCCGAACGACAGCTGAAACTAGAACCGATTACCGCGAACTGAAGCGAGGGAAATAACCATTTACCCTCTCACCTTGTCGGTGATAAACCGGTGATTCGCAAAACTATAGAACGACTAATCGAATTTCAGTTATGTTATCGTCTATGATTGCTGTTCTAACCTGATTGCTCTTACAGCCGCTACCAATCTACGCCCGTTTTGTATAGCAACTGCAAATATGATTTCACATTTTCAAATATAAACAAATTTCACGGAAGGATTCGTAGAAAATTGGAGAGGGAGAAACAAGATGGATCTGTTTCAACTGAGAAAACTTTGCATACATTGGTTTAACATTTACCTATGTTTTAATATCCTAATTATAGGTTTCAACATACCTGACAATCAGATTTGCCACGTAATTTTACGATACGCGTGTGATATCGTACCAACCGAACGCAAATTGCAAATTATGAAATTTTCTGGCATGAGTTGTATAATAGCTTGGATAAAGTGTATATTCAAAAATATAAATTTGAATTTTGTATGAAAATTATGTGTTAATTTGTGGTATGTAATATATGTATAAATATGTAAATCCTAAACTGTGACTACTCGTCTCTGACAGAAGTTTGAATTTTTATCTTAACTGAAATGTAGTAAAGAATTTTCAGAATCCCAACGATTGAGCTTTTTCAATTGCAAAGAGCCATAACGAACAAATACATGCTAAAACAATTTAATGAACAAAATCTAAGAGATTAAATGGCTATAGTAATGGTAAAAATATGGACGTCAAAGATTAAGTATGAGAATAAAACGTAATGAAGATTTTTTTATGTGTGTGCGACTATAGCGTAATGAAAAAGCAGTTGGTTTTGGGATTACTGTACACAACAATTTAATTGATAATTGAATATATGATTGCAAGTCTTGTTACGAAATTCAACATCGATTATCTCGCATTCCTAATAACAATCTTTTAAAGAAAGTAAAGTAACTTATGTCTCCCTTTAAGTTCTTTGGTTAAAACAGTAAATCCTCTAAAATTACCTAATCAGTGTATATATTCTTGTCAAGTATTATAATTGACGCCTGGAGTAAAATGCAGCGTCTCCATTTCCATGAATTCTAAGTATAATCGTTAGTCCCTATTTACGGAGAGAATTATGTTCTCGAATTGACAATGTCCAATTACGCTGTTTAAGCTAATGGAAGGGAGCATCATGGTATTGACCAATTCTCACTGAAACAGATGAACTTGCGGAACCAGTATTAGTACACGCGTTTCAGCAAGCAAATCGATTTCCATTGATTTACAGTCGATTTGTATTTATTTATCGCTACATTCATTTCGAATCTTTTCGATTGCCTCGCGTTTGAAACGAGACTACCTTAAAACATTGTGTTATTAAGTTAGTATACTGTAGCAATACATAATTAACAAAGAAATATAATAATATAAGCAGTAAACTTGACATGTAGTTTTAGGGTTATAGAAATCTTGACGGATAAAATCATGCTAAATATAGAGCTATATAATGGTAGGTATTATAATAAAATTTATTATATAGTATATGAAACAATAAAGGTATAACAAGTCAAATAATATTATGATGCAAAATCTAGACATAATTAATAGATGTTAAATACTAATTAGAATAAAATACCTAAAAGCCAATTATTTCTATATATATTCATTTACGTCCGTCGTTAATTGAAATTAGAATTCTGTACAGTTCTTTTTCATAACTTTCTACATTTAGAATTTTTTTCATCAATACGAATTAATTTTTTGACATGGAACCGATCGACATATAGCAATACGTTGATCAAAGGAATATATAAACGGTTGAATGCGGTTGATTTTAATTCCAATTTTCAGGGAGATGTGGAAATTAATATCAAAAGTCAATTCTCATTGACGCAGGGATGAAACAGCGTATTATGATTTAAGCTGCAATCTGGTTTTTCAATCTTCGATATTTACGATGAGATGAATGGAATTCAGATAGTACTAATCGATATAAAAGTCATTCTCATCGACGTTCCACGGAATCCAGAAGAAAGTACAATTTTTCTTCGACTACGTGAAAACTGCAGCAGGCCCAGATTCGTTTACTTTAAGTACATCCCACGGTATTATCGTAAAATATGAAATTCATATCCGTACCAGCGCAAAGTCTACCTCGTCTAGCGCGAAAAATTTCTATCCTTAGACTCAAGTGCTGCTAATAAAGAACCCGTCCTATGGATATTATTCTCCCGTCGACG